TAGGTTGTCCAGCCCAACTTCACATAGCTGCACTGTGAACAGCCTGACACATTTTGACATTGTTGGACCCAATAGCAATACCTTGCATTTTGGGACTTCGCTAAGAGTATATTTAAGTGACTTCTTTTTGGACCTTTCTTCTTTGGATTGCATGATGTTGTTTTTCTCTTACCTTTCCTACAACAGCTCTGACACAGATACAAAAAGTGAGGTTTGGGGAAGATCCCTGGAAGGGGTTGGTATTGACACAAAGAATTGGCAAAAATTCTAGCTCTCTCTATTGGGTTTGTAAGGCAAGACCAATAGAGAAAAAATGGTTCAGGCAAAACAAACTGCAGTGGGAGCCCGACTGTCAGATCCTCTCCTGTGGGTGTTCCCATCAGGTCTACCATGGATACATTTTAAATACCAACTTTCCACTCTAATATTCTAGGACAGCATGTAATCAGGCCTCTCTAAGAGGAGAAATCTAAGAGGAATGTAGAAAAACACACATGGGAAGAACCTCACAATAAAAAGAAAACAAACTCTGGGAAATGTGGTTAAGAAATATCAAACTCAATTAATAATGGAGCCTTCAATAGCCTTGGAGAAATCCAATACAAACTAAATTCAAACTACAGGCCAGTGCTTCCAGCCATATTTTCTTTTAATTGATGATGTTTAGAAAAAATCTTAGGAGGGAATTATTTAAGAAAAACAAGTCTGTTTAAAAGCTACATTCATCTAGGTAATGAAAATTAGGTACACAATATTAATTTATGATTTTTTCTTTTAATTAAAAACAGATTTCTTTTTTTTTTCTTTATTGGTTCATTTGAAAAAAATTTTTTTGAGAAAAGGTGGGAACTTCCAATAGGAAGCATAGAGTTGAGATGAAGTTAAAGGAGAATGTTGCTGAATGGGAAAATATGATAATATTTTAAAAATGTAATTTTAAATCATGCATGACTTGTGTTGGAGTTCATCCCAGATAAGTATCAGTATAGTCAGGGATAATGACAAATTATGGATTAGAACTGTGTAAAGGTTTGAAATAGCAGTAAGCTCAAGTCTTGGGAATGCAAACTGGATGACATTTTAGAATGATCTACTACCCAAAATGAGGGAAATGAAGCTTAACCCCATATGTCAGTATATTCTCATAAATATCCACCTAGAAAGGTACAACCACAGGTGCACTTAGACACAGATATAGATACAGACACACACATGGACAAGGGCAGATAGACACCTGCTTTAGGATTTGAAAAAGTTCCTAGGTCAAAATTGTAATAGTGCAATGGTTTCTAGAGAAAAGAAAAACCATTTCCTATTCTAAGCTAAGAATGTAAAAAAATGACTTTCCCATAACATTTTCTAATGGATCTTCCAGTCACATTCTCCTATGGAAGTATAATTTATGTAGTGGATGACAAGTAGAGTTTTATGATATCTGGAATTCATTTAAAATCTTTAGATTGGAAAAATTGAGATCCAATTAAAACCTTAATAAATGACTCTGTGTTGCATATAAATATATTAAATTAACGTGTGTGCAGGATGAAATTGGAAAAGTTATGAGAGTCTGCATGTTAATTCTATTTCTATCAGGGAACTAACTGTATGTTATAACTCTGAGAATTACTTGGTAAAGTGGCTGTTTACAATGCAGCAAAACTGAATTTAAATAGCAAATTTTAGCTCATGACTCATCATAACTCATGAAGTCTCAGCCTTAAGGCATGTTGAGATCTCACTGGTGAAAGGCCATGAGGAAAAGGAAGACGGACCAATTGGAGCTTATGGAGGCTGATGTAGTGATAGGGCCAGTCCCTAAGGATCTCACCTTGAAGGGAAGCAAGAGCTGGAAGGCTACTACGTGGCAGGCTCCAGGTAGTAGGTGAGACATGGCAGTGAGAGTCTGAGGGAAGGCCATTCTCATGAGCATGGTAACCGCTTGATTATACGGAAGACCTGGATGAGGGGTGCAGTGTCTTTGTTAAAATGTGACCCATGGACTGGGGGATGAAAAACATAGAGTGACTGTAACTATGTGTACACCCAGATAGATTCAGTGTGTCTATTCTCCACATACGTATACACTTATCCTAGGTTTTGTAACCTAGTGTGTATCCTAGGGAGGATGAATACTTATCTTAGGTTTTCCTGTGACCACAGTAAGACAATCGACTAAATCTGGAGGTTGCCAAATGACAGAGATTGGGCTCCTAACATAATGGGCACCTGAGTGTAGCAGTTTGGATGGAACATCCAAAAGTCCCTGGGTTCAAAGCCCTGTTCCCCCATTTGCCAGCTGGGGATGATAACATCCGTATGGATATTGTGACGATCAAGTGGGATATTTAATTATAGGATGTCTCCATTTTGTTATTATTAATTTTGGAAACAGAAGCTTTTGGCTTTAAGTCACATAATTTGAGAGATGGGAAATTATGCCACACCTATGGGCTATGCTAAGCTATTCCTGCAGTTTGGCCAGTTTTGAACAAACAAACAAAAAAATCCTGGCCACAGGAGCCTACCTTCCCAGCCCCCATAAATCTGGATGTATGTTCATTTCCTGGTAGGTGCAGCACCTGTTTTTATTTCCATCCAAAAGCTTTTTTTCAGATGTTAGGAGTGCTCCATCTAAAACAGGGATTGTTAATATTGTTTTGTAAAATTTCAGGTCCAGATTTATTCTAGAGTTTGTTGAGTTTATTTTTAGATTGTTACAAATGTGCCTGTATTCCTAGCTGTATTTAGATGTAACTTGTGGATGCTAATAAAAAAAATACAACGTTTTGGGAAGTATAGTGGGGATTTTAATTGAGAAAGCTGTACCCAAGTAGACTGAGGGAGTTAGTAAAGCCCCTAGCATGGCATACTCTAGACACAAGATGCTAAATGGTTGCTCCATCAGTGTTCATCTTCTGAGACACTCCAGGTCGATGGCAGTCATTCTATTCATCTTCTCCCATAAACTATCTTTAGTGGAAATTTTTATTCTTTACATGAAGAGCTACCACTTAAAAAGTGCTTATAGTGCCAGGAATTGAGGCGAGTGCATTTAACAAACATTGTTATCTCATTTAACTCTCATGAGGAGAGATACCATTACGTAAGGTAAGGACTAAAAAGAGGCCAAGAAACTTGATCAAGGTTACCTAGCAGGGAAATGCTCAGCAGGGCTGTTCACTAGAGTCTGCTATGTTATTCCCCAGATGAACACACTTCCTGGAGGGAGAATGGTGTGCTTTGCCTATCCTTACCCCTTTACCCTGCTGCCCTGCCAGGCCCAGTCTCTCCTTCCTGGGAGCTTTGCTCTACTTTGTTTAAGGTCCTTACCATGTTATATTAGCATGTATCTCTTATCTTTCCCACTTAACTGTCAGCCTGTGATTATATTAGATGTCCTAAAAATCATTCTCTCATCCCTGGCAGGTTCTATAGTACCTCAATATATTTCCTTCAGTTAGTGGTAGCTCCATAAAAATTTGTTGAATAAAGGAATTAATCAACGAAATACTGGGTTTTCCTGGTCCACTAGAGAACATGAGCTAGAGCAGCAGTTTAAAGTACACAGTCCTGATGAAGCAGTTCTTGCTGAAAATATTGGGTCTCCAGGGAGAGGAGGGAGGGCCTGGAGGAAGTAGTGGGAGAGCAGGATGTGTGTGGTCCCTCTGGGAGCCTGAAGAGAGGCTCTTCCCTTGAGAGTAGGCAGTTCAAGTTTCAGCCTCCACAATCTCCTTCCTGTGGTTCTTCCTGCTCTCTAAGGATTTCAAATGTTCTCATCAAGAAGATACCAAATTCCTTGAAAGCCTGGTTTCTGCCTTGTGGTTTCTGAGCCAGCCTGACGACACCACAGCCACCACCAGGCAACAGTGCTTCTCCTGACTACATGTAGGCAAACGAGACAGGGCTTCTGGCAAGTGAAACTTCTTTTGGGTAAATATTTTGGGGCTGCTTTTAAGATTTTTCTGACAGAACAACTGGTAAAAATCTCTGTGTATACATAGAATGCTCTGTCCTTTCTTCTGCTATGCCTGTGATGTTACTTTCCCTGTAGAAAATAACTCTCCTTGTCTTAGCTCTTGCTTGAGATTCAGGCTTTCCTTGTCCATTTTCACTCCAAGAGGGCCTGTTGAGGAACGGAGAAGAGGACCCCAAACATCTCCCAGCCTCCTGCCTCTTAGGCAGAGCTGCTGTATCACCCTTTGTTTTAGCCTCAGAGAGAGAGTTCAGGTTGGATGGCTGAAAAAGGATCTCTCTGGATTTCTGACCCTAATAAGAAAGCTTAGATCTAACCTTGTTACGGTTGCAACAACGTTCTTTCAAATTCTAAGCTTGTAGCAAAGAGCAACGTCCTGTGCATGTACACACACACACACACTCTCTCACTTTATATACGTATACTGCACAATTAATATGTACATACATAATACAATAATACACATATACATTTCGTGTCTATATACTGTATATTTGTATATACGCACTTTCATAAACAAGCTCGTATCGGGAAAGGGCAATACCACACACACACACACATACACACACACACACACACACACACCATACCACACACAGGGTAAGGTTCATTGTGCTTCCTTATCAGTGGCAAAATATTACTTTCAGGCAAGCCCATCACACAACGTTTAAGCAGAGTGCAGGCTCATCCTTAAATAGTCCAGGGAGCTCTTCCTTGCTACTTTTGAAGAATCCTTTGACGTGCCCAAAGTCTGTGGAGGGGCGATGCCAAACCCACTGAACTTCTTAAAAAGTGTGAAATGTCTGCAAGAACTTCCCTGATGTGTGAGTGGAGCCCAGACCGGGAAGAAGAGGCCGCCCTCACTGCCCAGCGGGACCCAGACCCCCGCCCGATGCCGAGCGCACTCTGCACACGTCGAACCCAGAACGCCCGCAGAAAAAAGGAAAGAGGCAGCGGGCTCCGCTGGCTCGCGGCCGCCGGCGCCCGCAGGGCACGTGACCCGGGGGCGGGGCCGCGGCTCGGGGGCGGGGCCTGTGGCCGCGCAGCTCGCGCCGCGGTCCCGGGTTTGGGTCTGCGGGAATGCGGGCTGGAGCGGTCCTGCAGCGGTACCGGCCTGCAGCCCGCCGCCGGGACGGCCCCTGACCCAGGCGCGCCCGCTGCCCGGGGCGAGAGGGCCGGCGGAGCGCCATGGCCTGCATCCTGAAGGTAACGGCTGGGATCTGGGGCTCGGACGCGTGGTTGGCCAGCCCCTCGCTGCCCAGACGCGCGGAGTCAGCCGCGGTCCCACCGCATCCTCATCTCAGTTGTCTTTTCCTGGCGTTGGTTTTCTTTTTGTTCCCGTGGCAAATGCATATGGAGGGAGATTCAGAAACATGCAGCCGGCACAGCTTCTTTCCCCACCATTCCTGCCTGCTCGCGCCTGCACTGAGGGAGCTGCAGACTGTTGGCTCCGGGGAGAGCAGGGCTGCGTGGTGCCGAATAATGGGGGTGGCAGGAGAGGAGGGGTGTTCCCGCGGGTCCCGCGGCTCCGACGAGCTGGAGGCCTTTCTGGGGCCACGGGGAGGGGAGGAGTGGCTGGGCATGGGCCGCTGGAGGTAGCGGGCGGAGCGCTTTGAATGGAGGGGAGACTGAGCGGAGGGGGCTTCCCCTGAGCATTTGATCTTGTGGAGACAGAAACTTCTGAGTTTACAGGTAGTCCCTTAGCAATGAGTTTTCTGTGGGATCTGCTGGCTCTGTGTGCCATTAACTCTACTTTGGAAAAGTTCACGGGAGGGAGCATTTATTGGTAGAGACCCTTGGACTGTCCTTGTGCTCATAAATTTAAACAGATAAGATAATTTTACACCGTATTGAAGTCTGCTCAGCCACCCCTTGTTGAGTTTTCTTTTTCCAAGTCTATGTTCTTAGCCTGGACTGAGCATCTTTTTGGGTTCACAGCATTGTGGCCTCAGGTGGGAGGATTTGGTGTGAGGGCCTCACTGGAGAAGAACTTTCCATCCCACTGGGAAAGGGAGCTCCCACCCGCATTGTTCTGCACTGCTGTTTCTTTCTACAAGTACCTAACCTGACTGCATGAATCAGAAACATTCACAGCATGGGCCTTGATGGAGGATGCGAAAGCCTATTTGTTCCAAGTTTGGGGGAGCCGGGTGTGACGAAAATCAGCAAACGATTTTTGTTTTGTTGTGTTATTGTGAAATAGCATTTGTTTCTCCATAGTATGATTTGAAATCATCTACCTCTGTTCTAGTTACCTGAATCATCTGCCAACATGCCTTGGTGTTAATGATGTAAATAAGAGACTGAACTAGTAGAATTTGTTTTCTTTTCTTTGAGTAAAGATCAGACATTTCCTGTGACCTTTCTGAACTTCTTCTTTTTGTTTTAGAATTTTCCAGGATGTACCAAAGGGTAGCAAAATCATAAGGGAATAATACGCTGATATTATAATATGGAATTTTAACCTGGAGACTTTAGCACAAGGATTGAAATATGAATATGAGTCATCTGTATTATTTATTGTGATATTTGCTGCAGGGCAAATTGAGGAGCCTGACATTTATGGTTGGCTGTCTTTTTGCCTTTGGACTTCTCCCCTGCCTCATCCTACACATTTCAAATATCTTTAATGTACATCCCAAGCTACACATGAATCTGATCCAACCTTTGTCTTCTGGTGCTTCACACTGACCTCAGACATTGGGGCATATCTGAGTCTTCCTTATCTTTTTTCCACTGGAACTAATCTGGGATGCAGGTAGGTATACTGCAAAGAGCTGAGGCTTTGGACTGAGAAAAGACATTCTGAATGCTGGGTCTGCTCATTGCTATCTGTTGTGACTTCGGGCAGGTTACTTAAATGTCTCTGAGTCTTAGTTTCCTCAATATCAGATCAAAGTAATGGCACCTACTCCACAAGGTTGCTGAGGGGATAAAATAAGATAGAGTATGAAAAATACTTTGTGGTACAGGGATTTAATATGTGCTGTTTTTTCCCTGACATATAATAACTGTAGTTTATTTAGTCCTCACTGCATTCTCAGTTTGTTTCATATAACTCTTTTCTTTTTGAGACAGAGCCTCAGTCTGTTGCCCAGGCTAGAGTGCTGTGGCATTAGCCTAGCTCATAGCAACCTCAAACTCCTGGGCTCAAGGGATCCTTGTGCCTCAGCCTCCTGAGTAGCTGGGACTACAGGCATGCACCACCATGCCCAGCTAATTTTTTCTATATATTTTTAGTTGTCCAACTAATTTCCTTCCATTTTTAGTAGAGACAGGATCTCGCTCTTGCTCAGGCTAGTCTCGAACTCCTGAGCCCAAACGATCCACCAGCCTCAGCCTCCCAGAGTGCTAGGATTATAAGCGTGAACCATCGGGCCCAGCCTTATGTAACTCTTTTATTCTTTTTTATTTTTCATAAAATGTTTTTTATTCTTTTAGTCTTACTAAAAAGACTTTAAAAAGTGAAAAGTAAGTAACATTGTTTTAAACCACATTTTACAGATGAGGAAGCTGAGGTTTCTGAGTTTAAGAGATTTGCCCAGGCCCACACATGGTTAAGGAGAGTGATCCTGGATTCAGACCCAGGTCTGCCAACTTTTCTTGTACTTTAAAGCTGGTCCCTGTACTTTCCCAGGTGATAACTTTCTCAGATGTCTTAGTACCAGTCAGGCCTTTCCACCTTTGAAAAATCACTTATTTTCTGGAGTTAAGGTCTAGATGATCTGATGAAGCAGTGAAGAGTACAGGTTTCAGCCCAGGGACCTGGGTTCCATTTAAGGCTGGCCTCCTGCATATGATTTCAGACAGTCACTACATCTTGGAGGCTCAGTTTTCCCAAGTGTAGTATGCATATAATTATAATAATTGCCTCACAAGGTTGTTGGGAGGGTAAAATGATGGACTTTTTTTTTTTTTAAGTGAAACATTTTCTGCCATATATTGGCCCTGGACTTGGTATTGACATTGCAGGAAAGGAAACACTTTCCTCTACCCCCTTAGCTTATATGCCTGGGCTTGATAATTAAACTGACAAAAGATATAATTAACAAGAGGAAAGCATACAAATTTTATTTTATGTTACTGTTTTTATATGTACACAGAGGTCTTTATAAATGATAAAAAGATCCAAAGAAGGGGAGAGGCCTGACATCTTGTATACCATTTTAATAAACAAGGATAAATTGTGAAAACTTGATAAGACAAAGAAAAACAGGAGTTTGGCATAGAGTGGTAAATGGTGGAATAGTGACTGGGTAGTATATGGGGAGAACTTATGGAAAATTGGAGTTTTCTTAGAAATGGATTCATCTTGGTGTTGACCGTTCGTCTTTTGTGGTAAGAATGCTCTTCTCTTTTGGGTATAGGGAAGGCACTTTTCTCATGGGAAATGTGAGACCCTGCTTTCAGATAGAAAGGTGGAGGGTAGAAAGCCCTTCCTGTATCTGCTTTATCTCAGTTGCCGTCAGCTCAAAATAATATATATGCCAAAGTGGCATATTTTGGGGTGGCATGTTCTGATTTCTTTCACATCACAATGTGTCTAAACCATTGACTCCATTCTCAAGTGGCTTATGGTAGAGAGAGAGAGAGAGAGAGAGGGACAGAGAGAGAGAGAAAAGTAAAGGAATGCTTAGGTTACGATGTGAAGAATGAAATAACATAGGTCTGTGGAAGGCACACTGGAAGCATGGAGGGAAAGAGCAGTGAGCCCTACCATCAGGTAGTCCAGACAGGCTTCCTACTGATGATATTGAAGCTGGTTTTGAAGACTGAATAGGATTTACTGTGATAAAACTTGTATTTCAGAAAGATAACTTTTAAGGCAGCATCAACTTTGTTCTGTGGGCTGAGACTTTAATCTTCTCAACAGGTGTTTGAAGTAGATTTTACCATCCATTTTTACATAAGAGAAAATTGAAATAGAGAGATGTTGATGTCTAAGTGTCATTATTACCTATGCAGACTAGTGACCCTAGCTAAGAAGAGAAACCCATGCTGTAGGCAGCTAATGTCAGTCTTTTATGGGATGTGGAACTATCCCCTCAAGGCACTGTATGTGCCAAGGGCCCATTCTGCCAATGCATGGGGCTGGTTCTCATAGCAGAATGATGATTGCCTCATAATAGTTTAATTGTGGAATACATACTGCACATTGCATAGGCTTTGAAGCCAGAAATATGTGGGTTTTAATTATGGCTCCACCATGTATTAATTGTAGAACCGTAAGCAAGTTTCTTGATGTCACTGCCTTAGTTTCCAAAATGGGCATGATCATACATTCCTCAACGGGTTATTCTAAAGGTTAAATGAGATTATCTGTATATCAATTATACTACAGACAAAGAAAAACTTTAAAAAAAAAGAAAAAAAAAGAAAATCTTAGTAAGTTCGTTTCTTGCCATACGCCTGGTTAGGCAGCTTTCCTTGGTAGCTCTGCCATTCAGTGAACATTCGACTCAAGGACTAGTCTCTTTCCATCAGTGGCTGTGATATCACCTAGGGCCCCAGCACCCTCTGCTAGATTCTCTGCTTTCATCTGCTTCAGCAAAGAGAGAGTGTAGGGAAGATCTAGTGTTGAAAAAGTCTTTGAAATTTGATAGATAAGAAAGATATCTACTTTAATTTGTATTTATTGGATTATTAGTGAAATCAAACTTTTAAATTTATATTAGCCATTTGTTTTTCTTCTTTTGTAAATTACAGACTTTAAAATTATATATAATAAAAGCTGTTCATATTTTCTTTTACAATTTTCTGCCTCGGGTCAGGAGGTACTGTTCGAGCACAGTGTCTTCTACACTTTTGATATTGAGCAAATATTTGGCGAATTATATTAAGTTGTGTATCCAGTACCGAAGTGGACACTGAAGTGGACATGTGGGCACATGATACTTGTGAGTCATTTCTGCCTCGAAGAAGATGATGGCTTTGCCAGGTTGATGAGGCTTTATGAACATGAAGCGATGAGATGGTAATACAATGGATGCATGACTAAGCCACAATTACCTTCTCTCCAGTGACCTGTCCTCACCCATTTAGCTTGATTGATGGGAAATTAGATGAATGGTGATATCTAGTTATGAACTTGATGTCTTCTCATTTACTTTTCGTCCTCTGCCCCAGACCAATCCTTCCCCATATTGCGTCAGCTCTGTCTCAGGAAAATCTCTCTCCTTCCTCCTTCCGCCTGGTCCAGAGCCTCA